TTGAACAAATGAATATTATGACTAATATGATTTCATTTCTAAGACTAAGTTTTAATACGTTTAAGGAACCAAAAGCGGGAAACCCATTGTGAAGAAAATGTATATAATTACTGCACAAATATATATATATTTTTTTCATCATTATGTACCTGAAGACTAATTTTTTTGCCCAGCGACAGTACATTAGTACACAGTAGCAAAACAATTCGCAACGGAAAACAAAAACAAATGTTTCGTATTCTTATCTTAACTTCAGGTGGTCCCTCTACATCGGCTTTCATTTCGTCCCTTGTGAGTAAAACCCTGGTTTGATTGAATTCAAGTTAGAGATGTGACACTGAACAGAAGGCAACATGTCCACTAGAGGGAATTCTCTCCTCACATTAAAATTCTGATGCAAAGCGTGAGAAGAGATATGAGCTGAGTTATATTAATATTGAGAAAAATTGACATCTGAAAGATGAATAACATGAACACAACATGATGTAACTTTGATATGCTTTAACATAACTGTAGATATGTGAATACAATAAAGTTGATTTACAGATGGGTCTGTTGTGTTTTTATAACAATGTAATCCATCTAAACTCTCCACTCACCATATTTTTTGTCTAACACAATAAACCATTGAAATTATAATAACATATACAGTGGGGAGAACAAGTATTTGATACACTGCCGATTTTGCAGGTTTTCCTACTTACAAAGCATGTAGAGGTCTGTCATTTTTATCATAGGTACACTTCAACTGTGAGAGACGGAATCTAAAAACAAAAATCCAGAAAATCACATTGTATGATTTTTAAATAATTAATTTGCATTTTATTGCATGACGTAAGTATTTGATCACCTACCAACCAGTAAGAATTCCAGCTCTCACAGACCAGTTAGTTTTTCTTTAAGAAGCCCTCCTGTTCTCCACTCATTACCTGTATTAACTGCACCTGTTTGAACTCGTTACCTGTATAAAAGACACCTGTCCACACACTCAATTAAACAGACTCCAACCTCTCCACAATGGCCAAGACCAGAGCGCTGTGTAAGGACAATGCAAATTAATTACTTAAAAATCATACAATGTGATTTTCTGGATTTTTGTTTTAGATTCCGTCTCTCACAGTTGACTGCTGAGATGTTTGCTGTTGTTCTACTTCTCATTCAAGGAATTGACCACAGCAGCAGGTAAGGCAAACAGTTTTTTCCCTCCAATCAAGATTAATTCTGTTTTTACTAAGCATTCTCAATTGAATTCTGAATTGAGCCCAACCCTGCTGGGAACAGAAAGGCACAGACATAGCCTAGATCACTATAATTTTTTTTGGGGAAAATGTTGAAATCTACTTGAAAAAGTTTTAGAATCAAAGACCAGTTGGAGTACAAGAAGTGTGTTAAATTAAATTGAAGAGCGGGCTACTGAATACTTTAATCCCTTGATCATTGCATGACTTTTCGCATATGCAGGCCTATTTCTGTCTGTTAGACTGCCAGATGGTGAAGCGTGATTCATCACTCCAGAGAACGTGTTTCCACTGCTCCAGAATCCATTGGTGGCGAGCTTTACAATGTTTGTCTATGTAGAGTGAATGGCTGTGTGCTCGATTTTGTACACCTTTCAGCAACAGGTGTGGCTGAAATAGCTGAATCCACTAATTTGAAGGGGTGTCCACATACTTTTGTATATATAGTGTATCTTAAGATGAACTGTTAAGTCACTCTGCTTAAGAGTGTCTGCTAAATGACTAAAATGTAAAATGTTATGCTCTTTTGTCTATTTGTATAATGTTCACATTTTATTGCATTTGTCTGCCAGATAAATAGTTGAAACAGGCATGTTGACAATCTAGATGTGAGGTGACCAGTAGATAGCTAAATAGGGGACAGTTGCCTGTTTTGCCTGTGTTAGGCCCTCATTCACAATGTACTTACATTGAACAGAAATATAAACGCAACATGTAAAGTGTTGGTCCCATGTTTCATGAGCTGAAATATAAGATCCCAGAAATGTTCCATACACACAAAAATATTATTTCTCTCAAATTTTGTTTTAGGGAATTTGGCAATACCACCAACCGGCCTCACAACTGCAGACCATGTGTATTGCGTCGTGTTGGCGAGCGGTTTGCTGATGTCAGCGTTGTGAACAGAGTGCCCCATGGAGGCTGTGGGGTTATGTATGGGCAGGTATAAGCTACGGACAACGAACACAAATGCATTTTATCGATGGCAATTTGAATGCACAGAAATACTGTGATGAGGCCCATTTTTTTTTTAAAGGTATCTGTGATCAACAGATGCATATCTGTACTCCCAGTCATGTGAAATCCATAGATTAGGTCCTAATGAATGTATTTAAATTGACTGATTTCGTCATATGAACTGTAACTCAATAAAATGGTTGCATATTGCGTTTATATTTTTATTCAGTATAGTTACATTTTAGTCATTTAGCAGATGCTCTTATTCAGAGTTAGTGAGTGCATAAATTTTTCATACTGGCCCCCTGTGGGATTCGAACTCACAACCCTGGCGTTGCAAGCGCCATGCTCTACCAACTGAGCTACAGAAGGGCTAGTTAAGACCTATTCAGTACTTTACTTTAGTCGATCTGGATTTGTTTCTGTTAGCAACTTTCTATGTCTTTATTTTCAAATGACAGTCCAGAGCCATTGTGAGTGACAGGCAGTCTAAAGACCTACCTCATGCAGTCTATAGACTTACCTCATACTGCTGTGACAAGTGTTGTCATTGTACATTTCTCTCTTCTTTCTCAGGAACCAAAGATGACTTCAGCTACCAGCTTGCTGTTTCTTGCAATACATTTTGCATGTATCAGAGCTGGAAATTCCTCAGAGAGTAAGTTATGCCACAATAATGGTTATAAAATGTTATATACAAAAACACAAAAATAGATATATTGTTTTCAGCTGATTGTTAACTTTATGGTTTGGGAGAACTGTATATTATTTTTTTTACTAAAAGTTCAATAAGATTGGTCACATTATGATAAAGCTGACTACTATAACAGTAATTCTCTTTTGTATTAATGCCAATTTTTCTCTGTAATGATATTTTACTTACAGCTTTTGTCTAACTGGAGTGTAAAGAAGAATACCATGGGGTTCATGATCAGCAGTCACTGCTGGAGTGTAATGTCAAAACTGTTCAGAACGTGACCATCTTGACAGTGACCTGGAAGAGAGTGGGAGGTGATGCATCTTTGTTGGAATACCATAAAGAAGAAAATAACTCAACCCTTGGATTTAAATTTGCTGTGCCATCCTGGAACAAGAAGAATATGAATGTGTCCTTGTTGTTGACAAATACCAAGATGGCCGACAAGGGGGAGTATGAATGCATGGTGGAAACAGACAGTGGTGATGCCACAGCTACAACCAGCCTCAGTGTCACAGGTGAGTCCTGTACTGTCTACAGTTCAACCAAGTGTGATTACAAAAAGATAAACACCTTTCAACACAGGTTCATGAAAGACGCAAACTGAACATGTGAGATATTCAGCCACTCTTGGAGGGCAATAGAAGAATACAATACAATAACTTATTTATTTTCATGTGTTTCAGATCAAAGCCTTCAGGTGTTATGACTGATTTGAGGACTAGGCTGCCGAAGTTCTATCAACATATCGACTATTGTACTCGCACAGCTAAAACCCTCAACCATTACTCCGCAAGGCAATCAAACAGGCAAAACGTCAGTATAGAGACAAAGTGGAGTCGCAATTCAACGGCTCAGACACGAGGCGTATGTGGCAGGGTCTACAGACAATCACGGACTACAAAAGGAAAACCAGCCACGTCGCCGACACCGACGTCTTGCTTCCGGACAAGCTAAACACCTTCTTTGCCCGCTTTGAGGATAACACAGTGCCACCAACGCGGCCCACTACCAAGGACTGTGGGCTCTCCTTCTCTGTGGCTGATGTGAGTAAGACATTTAAGCTTATTAACCCTCGCAAGGTTGCTGGCCCAGACGGCATCCCTAGCTGCGTCCTCAGAGTATGCGCAGACCTGCTGGCTGGTGTGTTTATGGACATATTCAATCTCTCCCTATCCCAGTCTGCTGTCCCCACATGCTTCAAGATGGCCACCATTGTTCCTGTACTCAAGAAAGCAAAGGTAACTGAACTAAATGACTATCGCCCCGTAGCACTCACCTCTGTCATCATGAAGTGCTTTGAGAGACTAGTCAAGGATTGTATCACCTCTACCTTACCTGTCACCCTAGACCCACTTAAATTTTCTTACCGCCCCAATAGATCCACAGACGATGCAATCGCCATCACACTACACACTATCCCATCTGGACAAGAGGAATACCTATGTAAGAATGCTGTTCAATGACAATAGCTCAGCATTCAACACCATAGTACCCTCCAAGCTCATCATTAAGCTCGAGGCCCTGGGTCTGAACCCCACCCTGTGCAACTGAGTCCTGGCCTTCCTGACGGGCCGCCCCCAGGTGGTGAAGGTAGGAAACAACACCTCCACTTCGCTGATCCTCAACACTGGGGCCCCACAAGGGTGCATGCTCAGCTCACTCCTGTACTCCCTGTTCACCCATGACTGCGTGGCCAAGCACGCCTCCAACTCAATCATCAAGTTTGCAGACGACACAACAGTAGAAGGCTTGATTACCAACAATGACGAGACAGCCTACAGGGAGGAGGTGAGGGCTCTGGGAGTGTTGTGCCAGGAAAATAACCTCTCACTTAATGTCAACAAAACAAAGGAGATGATCGTGGACTTCAGGAAACATCAGAGGGTGCACCCCAATATCCAAATCGACGGGACCGTAGTGGAGAAGGTAGAAAGCTTCAAGTTCCTTGGCGTACACATCACTGACAAACTGAAATGGTCCACCCACACAGACAGTGTGGTGAAGAAGGCGCAACAGAGCCTCTTCAACCTCAGGAGGCTGAAGAAATGTGGCTTGGCACAAAAAACCCTCAGAAACTTTTACAGATGCACAATTGAGAGCAACCTGGTGGGCTGTATCACCGTCTGGTACGGCAACCACCGCCCGCAACCGCAGGGCTCTCCAGAGGGTGGTGCGGTCTGCCTTATGCATCACCGGGGGCAAACTATCCGCCCTCCAGGACACCTACAGCACCCGATGTCACAGGAAGGCTAAAAAGATCATCAAGGACATCAACCACCCGAGCCACTGCCTGTTCACCCCGCTATCATCCAGAAGGTGAGGTCAGTACAGGTGCATCAAAGCTGGGACCGAGAGACTGAAAAACAGCTTCTATCTCAAGGCCATCAGACTGTTAAATAGCCATCACTAGCACATTAGAGGCTGCTGCCTATCGACATAGACTAGAAATCACTGGCCACTTTAAGAAATGGAACACTAGTCACTTTAATAATGTTTACATATCTTGCATTACTCAACTCATATGTGTATATACTGTATTCTATAATATTCGACTGTATCTTAGTCATTGCTCGTCCATATATGTATATATTCTTAATTCCATTCCTTTCTTAGATTGTGTGTATTGGGTATATATTGTGAAATTGTTAGATATTACTGCACTGTCGGAGTAAATAAAGGTGAAAAAAAAAAAAAGAAGCACAAGCATTTCGCTACACCCGCAATAACATCTGCTAAACACATGAATGTGACAAATACAATTTGATTTGATGCCGAAATGCGTTGGAATGAAGTTCTATTGAACTTCCATTGTTGTCACACACACAATTTCATACAGTTATGATATAAAGTTGATAAGGATGTTTATTCTGGAATATTCTCTGTGGGAGTTCAGATCTATTTGTAAGTGTGTGATTGGACAGCACAGCAGGAGCATTGTTTACTTTCTGTTTCAGAATGACAGTGCTCAAATGGTACACAGTAGTACAACGTCCACAACTAGCCTCCATAATGCCATTCTGCCCATGGCATGCAATCAGTGTTTACAAATAATGTACACAGACTCAATTAGAACATCTGAGTGATAAAAGAAAGGTAATTCAAGTTTATTAAAAAACACTCCTACAGTAATCTCATTCCAAGTTATAACCATTGAATTGATGTTGAAAAACAATGTTTACCCACTGACGTTGTTAACTACTGTTGCGAACAGGACCCACATGTACATAATATAATGTATCTTCCTCTCTCTCTTCCAGTTATGTACAAATCTCCAACCATGAGTTCCAGTCCTGAGAACAGCATCAAACAGAACACGAATGTGACCATTTTCTTCAACTCTACAGGCGGGCACCAGAAAGGGTTGATCTGGTGGTTTGACGAGTTTGGCACAAACTGCACAGAGAGTGCTGAACTGGTGGCCAAAGAGACCGACGACTAACTGTTTAGCTCTCCAGTAAACTAACAGTTCTGAATGCTACATACAGTGGTTCCACAAAATACTCATGCACAGTGCACAACACCAATGGAGTCCAGGAAGGGAAGGCATCATTTGAGATCCCGTTTGTACGTTCTGCCATCGTGGTTGGTATACACAGTGTGTATGAATGATGTTTTTGATGTCATCCTTTGTGAAAGCAGGGCCAAGTCCAAAACCTGCCAGTTTCCCTTATTACCTCATCCTGACCCTGATAATTGTAAACAATTCAGCCTCAATCTAGTCTACTTTTATTAGCATAGGCCTTTTTACGACGTCTTTATCACGTGTGAGCACAATCAAAGTCAGCCATAATGAGAGAACAACATCACAAGAGTGGAGTAGATCAAAGAATCCTAACACTGCCCTAGATCAGGCCAATCTGACAGAGCATCTTCCTTGAAACTTAAACTTAGTTTGGGTAAGAAACAATCCATGCATGTTTCAACATGAATCCAGAAGATCTTCAATGTTTGCTTAACCTAGTATGCTTGTCATCTGATGAGACTATAAGAAATTACAAGGTTAATAATGAAATAATGATAGTGGAGTTGTAACTACCTGCGCTAGTTGACAAATCAGAGCTGATAGTCTCCAATCTGTCTCTAATGCTCCCTCTTATCATGATTCAGTGCAGTCATAATATCTTCTTACCAGAACATTCTGCCTCTGCAGTTGTGTTTCTCACCTCCGGCAGCCATTTTGAATGTATTTTCTGACCTGCCTTTTAATTAAAAAAATAAAATGTTTTACCTGCCTGGCTGGGAATTTCCAAATAAAATTATCCATCTGATGCCAAAACAAATTAGTCTTAGCAATGGGAAGTAAATTAAGATTATATTTAGATTAGAACAGCGCTTTAGTATGTGTGTTTATTTTAAGATATCAAAATAATCCGAAACATTACTCTGCAGAAAATGAAGTTGGAACAGTGAAATGCCCTGATACAGACTTTGACCAAGCATAGCTAACCTTTTCCTCTGGATTTGATATTTGAGAAAATAAATGTGTATACACACACACAGTAATTGGAACTTCTATTTAGTAGAAATGACAGTGAACTCTGGTTGACTGAATCCAGGTCTGCTGGATTAGATTTGTAAAAATAATCAATTTGATTTGTTCTCAGTCATGTACTTTGTGCATCTATATCTGGTCACAGATAGAATAGCACTACCTGTATTTAATTCAAGAACACATTAATTTCCTATTTATTTTGCAAATTGTTTATTTTCCCCCTGCAGTTGAAGGTTCAAAAGAGGATTTTGCTTCTGACTCCATCACCCAGTGGCTTGCCCCGGTTGGGGTCATAGGATCTCTGACCATTGGACTCCTTGCTGCGTTGCTGATATTTAAGAGGCACTCCGCCCAACGTAAGTACATTAATTGTCATACTCATATAGTACAAACTGATGACAGCCTGTGTGCTACATGGGCCTGGCTGATCAGATGTGTGTGATCTCTCAATGTGCGTGTAACTCCTCCATGAACAGATATCATTGCATGAAGCTGTGTTGAATATCATGGATCTCTGTTTGCCATGCTAGTTGGTGCTAGATGAACCTGTATAGTGGGACTGCATGCTTTGGCAGTTGGCAGCCATCCATTTTGGCTATGAATGGGGGAAGCATACCTTAAAGTAGCACTGCCAAGTACCTCAGTAGTCAAACATCATAGTGAAAATACTCCAGGCTCAGCCAGTCTTCATGTACAGTAGTTAAACATCAGAAGACATCTTTACTATATGATCAGTGGCTTTCAGCCATGTGTGGCATAGGCTTATACTAACCATGAAAAACAGTGTAGTTGATGCTCAATCCAAGTCAATAATAATATTATCTATTAATGGATAACTGCAATAGTAGGCTATTTATTGTTCATCAACATTGCTTTTGGTTTACTGATTAGCTTTTTTATGTATACTGAACAAAAATATAAATGCAACAATTTCAAGGATTTTACTGAGTTACAGTTCATATAAGGAAATCAATTGAAATAAATTCCTTAGGCCCTAATCTATGGATTTCACATGACTGGGCAGGGGCGCAGCCATCGGTGAGCCTGGGAGGGAATAGGCCCACCCACTTGTGAGCCAGGCCCACCCACTGGGGAGCCAGGACCAGCCAATCAGAATGAGTTTTTCCCCACAAAAGAGCTTTATTACAGACAGAAATACTCCTAAGTTTCATCAGCTGTCCGGTTGGCTGGTCTCAGATGATCCCGCAGGTGAAGAGGCCGGATGTGGAGGTCCTGGGCTGTCGTGGTTACATGTTGTCTGCGGTTGTGAGGCCGGTTGGACGTACTGCCAAATTCTCTAAAATGACGTTGGAGGTGGGTTATGGTAGAGAAGTGAACAGTAAATTCTCTGGCAACTGCTCTGATGGAAATTCCTGCAGTCAACATGACAAATGCATGCTCCCTCAACTTGAGACATCTGTGGCATTGTGATGTGTGACAAAATTACACATTTTAGAGTGGCCTTTTATTGTCCCCATTACAAGGTGCAATGATCATGCTGTTTAATCAGCTTCTTGATATGCCACACCTGTCAGGTGGATGGATTATTTTGTCAAATATTTTGTTCACTAACAGCATGTAAACATATGTGTGCACAACATTTGAGAGAAATAAGCTTTTTGTGCATATGGAAAATTTCTGGGATCTTTTATTTCAGCTCATGAAACATGGGACCAAGACTTTACATGTTGCGTTTATTTTTTTGTTCAGTATAGTTTGTTTTAAGTTAAAATTGTAATAGTAGGTTTTGTGTAATTTTTTCACAGGGGCTCGAAGGCAGTCCACTTTGCCATTTAATGAGTATGTCCTTCAATATTCAGTATTTATTAAAATATGTCATTTTAATTTTGACACTTTGGGTTTATGGTTTCCCATCTTTCATAGACAGTTCACAGAATTCACTGTAAAAGCAATACATATACTTTATAATGACCAACATCATATTTGGAATATTTGACAAAAATTATAACTCAACAAATGATTACAAGGCAAAAATAACACTTCATAATGCATTCACATAGCCTGAGTGCCAGTATAAAATGGAGGCTGGATGATTACTAATTGTTTACCAAACCAGTTGGCGATGATGATGGCTCCGCTTTTGTACTGTTCTCAGGGGGAAATAGTAAGAATTGACTCACCCCTGTCCAAATTAAGGTAGTTTAGCTGTATGGCTGTGGTGCAGGGAGATTATTTATTTGGGTCATACTATTATGTAATGCTGGGTGAAATATGGGCCTACCTGCACTGTGAGGGAAGACTTGCAAGTCTCTTTACTAACTTTTCTCTTTCTGCCCAACTCTTAATTCCACTGAACTTTGGAGGAGGCAATGCTCCTCTGGATATTTAAATGTTAGATGACATTCCTCCACAATATGTCACAGATCAGCTTCTGACTTGTCCTTGTCAGTTATAGGTCAGTGTCCATCCAACAGACAGACATCACAATGAGGAGGCAGAAGGAAAAGTTATCCTTTCTGTATGTTGTATCTTCATCTAATATGTCTATCTCTACTGTACATCTATAATGAATATATCTATCTAAAATATATTGTATCTACATCTACTGTATTTATAATAGCTCTCTTTCTATTCAGCATCAGCTTCATGGGGGACATGTTTTTTTAAATGAGTGATTATCTTGTAGTTATCTTGTAGTTTACATGCTGTCCTTGCTCCTTGTAATGATTAGTGGTGTCTCTCCTGTTTTCTATTATTTTGTAATGATTAGTGGTGTCTCTCCTGTTTTCTATTATTTTGTAATGATTAGTGGTGTCTCTCCTGTTTTCTATTATTTTGTAACAATATGCACTTTCTCTCTCCCGCTCGCCGCCTGCCTGCCTGCAGTGACAGTCCACAGGACCAGCATTCCAGGACTGTTTCCTTGACGATCAATAAGGGGCTTATCACTATCCTTAGTTTCCTGCTAAGTGTCCGATGACAGTCACTTTGACACGCAGGTCATTCTGATTGAGGCATTTGTTTCTTCATAATCTACTGATGATGGCAGCCTTTAAGGTCTGTGGTTGATTACAAATTATCTGTAACTGCCCTATATATCAATGTTTCTATACAGGGTTGCCATGGTGTCACTATACTCTAGATTCTACCACTGTAGAACATTGGCATACTGTAATACCAGGTAATCTGATCACTGTACACACTATACCACAAGGTGCATGGGTAAACATTCCACGTTTCTAATACTGTAGATTCTACCATAGTGGTTGTTATTACTATACTGTAACACCAGACCATCTAATCACTAACTTTACACACTGTTCAATACTAAGGTTGTGCGAACCTGCACTGCACTTTTCTGAAAACATGTAGTAAAAATGGTTTCTCTTCTGAAAGAGGGTTTCGCAAGACTGTACAATAACCACTCTTATTACCAGACGCCAGCCTGTCGCTCCTACCACCGATGTTTTAGTTTTTGTCCTTCCTCTTTCTCATTATCTTGCGCTATCTGCTGGTGGAACGTTCAGATCTATATCTATATGTTGTTCAGGACTCGCCTCCATGAAGGCAGTGGAATGGAATGCAACTGTATACCTGAAAAACAATGGACAAGATTCAATTATTAATCTGAGAGAATTGGTAGCAGTTTCAAGTTTAACATAAAAATGTTCAGCTGGTGGTTGATTATGATACTTTTGAAAATGGAATGAAACTGTAAACATGAAAAGGATTTGTTGTTTCAATATATACTACTGTGCCTGCCTCTATTCTCCCTGGGCTGCCTCTATTCGAAGTCCAAAACAAACACGTATATATACACCAAACAAAAGAGCGAGGTGTAACCTCTACACAATACACGGGGACGAGACCCGTAAACAACAAGAGCGGACCAACTGACCATCACCATCATTAACCTGCCCATAGAGGACACAGGAGTCTACTGGTGTCTTTACACAAAAGTCAACAAATCCACGTTTGAAAATGTTATCAACCAAGCTAGAGGCTCCACTCTGGTTGTGGTGAATGGTAGGTTTATGTTTACACTCTAGATGTGATGTGTTTTACTCTTCTCAATGGACAGTCAATTTCACATGCAGACATAAATTGTGTAATCTAGAATCCAGACTAGTGTTAATCAATCTGTGGTTCATGGACTGGCAGCAGTCCCTGAGGTGTTCCAGACCGATTTAGTCAGCTCTCAAGTGTTAGTTTCAATCTAAACAACCATAGCCTGCTAGTCCAGATACAAATAAGTTGAGAAACACTGTTCTTCAGTGGCTTTTCTTTTGTAAAATTCTGTCTATGATAGTTATTCTGTGTGAGTGCAGCAGCATTCTGATTAGATTTCCCCATTTGGTGAAGTCTTACATAGACAATGCCCTACAGCTGCCATGCCCTACAGCTACTGCGGTAACGCTGACCCCCTTTCACTCAGCTGACGAGAAGCCGTGCCTATCTGGCTGGGTAAACATCATCATCATTATCACCAGCATCTTGACCATCCTGCTGTGTGCTGTCATCTTCGTCATCTGGGTCTCTCCACAGGTGAGTGTGCTGAAGGTTGTCTGGGTGATGGGTCAATCACATGTATCTGTCAAACTCTGTCAAAACATTGTCCTTTATTAACAAGTTGTCCTAGTCCTACTAAACACTTTGGGAGCATAATAACAGTATGCAGATCTACATTTTGTTCTAAACTCTGTCAAAACACAATGTCCTTTCAATGCCAGTCATCGTAGTGACTGAAATGGACAACGGGCAATTCAGATGCATTATCTTTTTAATCAATGTCCAAGAATAATTAAAGTGGTTGAATTAGTAAAAATTATTGATTGCTTGTAGCGCATTAGAAGATATGAATGAAGCAACATTCCTGTTTCACAGGTGAAGAGGGGAGGATACACACCCCAGGTCTTTCCTGACTCGGTCTATGTAGACATGGGCAAGAATCGCTTTCCTCCACCAGCCACACAGCAGGTAGAATCAGACCCCTATTCTGTGTCTACCAAAGGAGGACGTAGGACCACTGAGTAACAGCTTCAAATGCTTTCTCTGAATATTGCTTCTTTGCTTTCTCAGAATTGAAAAGCCTGTCTAGCTATATTTCACAATTCTATTCTCGATGCAAGACTTAGTGGTTGTTTGTGTGTGCGTGTCGCCATACCGTGCATGTGTGTTTTTAATTAAAATCTCTATATGGAAAGTATTCGTCTTTCAACAGAAGTCCAGCGGGGAGGAGGGAACAGCCAACGTTTTAGTCTGCAAGGTGTACAGTTGATAGCAATGGATGCCTACATACAGTACAACTTTTTTCAATAACAGTACATCAGGTCATACGATTTATATTGGTTTCAGCTCTAAACAATGCCGTAGGCTGTAGTGTTTTTAGGTCACTGGAACACTCAACTACAGTACCTTCCGTCCAACCACTCAGGAAGTTGTTTCTGCGCATGGTGTCTGCCACAGTGTCAAAAGAGCGTCAAAGTAAAAACAAGAACAGTTTATTAAAACTTTTATTATATTTATATTATTATTTTAGCAGCCTGAACTTTTTTCAGGTACCACATGCACTGTTTATACAGTACATAAGCCATTTTTACATAATGTATTATTATATTATTTTTGTTGAAAGAGTAGCTTTAACCAAATCAATGTCTGTCTGTTACTATTGGTCTGAGTAAATTGTTTTCATACTGATACGGAGTAATGAGTGCGTCTTGTGGTTGGAAAAACAATTATTCATTTTTACCATTTTACTCTATGAGTCACTGTTTTTTACTTATGTTTCAACTTCCTAACAGGTATTTTCACTTTGAATACCTGTTAATGTGTAAGGAATTTTTTTGAGGGAGTTTACTGCCTTTTAATCAAAATATTGATAGATCATTTATAAAGTCATGTGATATTCAACATGTGTATTCATGTTTATGTTGTATATATGTATGTGGTACACATTGGTGATGTTCAGCTTTATGGCTTACTTATAGTATATTATATGTTTCTATCTAATCACTTTTAAGCTACTCTTGTCAATAAATAGTTTCAATATACATGAGCAGCATCATGAAGTTGTTTTTACATTTACATTTACGTCATTTGGCAGACGCTCTTATCCAGAGCGACTTACAAATTGGTGCATCACCTTATAGCCAGTGGGATAACCACTTTACAATTACTTTAATTAATAAATACAAAAAATTGGGGGGTGGGGTAAGGTGGGGGGGTAGAAGGATTACTTTATCCTATACCAGGTGTTCCTTAAAGAGGTGGGGTTTCAAATGTCTCCGGAAGGTGGTGAGTGACTCCGCTGTCCTGGCGTCGTGAGGGAGCTTGTTCCACCATTGGGGTGCCAGAGCAGCGAACAGTTTTGACTGGGCTGAGCGGGAACTGTGCTTCAGCACTGGTAGGGGAGCCAGCAGGCCAGAGGTGGATGAAGCTCAATGCCCTCGTTTGGGTGTAGGGACTGATCAGAGCCTGAAGGTACGGAGGTGCCGTTCCCCTCACAGCTCCGTAGGAAAGCACCATGGTCTTGTAGCAGATGCGAGCTTCAACTGGAAGCCAGTGTAGTGTGCGGAGGAGCGGGGTGACGTGAGAGAACTTGGGCAGGTTGAACACCAGAAGGGCTGCGGCATTCTGGATGAGTTGTAGGGGTTTAATGGCACAGGCAGGGAGCCCAGCCAACAGCGAGTTGCAGTAATCCAGACGGGAGATGACAAGTGCCTGGATTAGGACCTGTGCCGCTTCCTGTGTAAGGCAGGGTCGTACTCTCCGAATGTTGTAGAGCATGAACCTACAGGATCGGGTCACCGCCTTGATGTTAGCGGAGAACGACAGGGTGTTGTCCAGGGTCACGCCAAGGCTCTTCGCACTCTGGGAGGAGGACACAACGGAGTTGTCAACCGTGATGGCAAGATCATGGAACGGGCAGTCCTTCCCCGGGAGGAAGAGCAGCTCCGTCTTGCCAAGGTTCAGCTTGAGGTGGTGATCCGTCATCCATACTGATATGTCTGCCAGACATGCAGAGATGCGATTCGCCACCTGGTTATCAGAAGGGGGAAAGGAGAAGATTAGTTGTGTATCGTCAGCGTAGCAATGATAGGAGAGGCCATGTGAGGATATGACAGAGCCAAGTGACTTGGTGTATAGCGAGAATAGGAGAGGGCCTAGAACTGAGCCCTGGGGGACACCAGTGGTGAGAGCACATGGTGTGGAGACAGCTTCTCGCCATGCCACTTGGTAGGAGCGACCGGTCAGGTAGTTCGCAATCCTAGAGTGAGCCGCGCCGGAGATGCCCAGCTCGGAGAGGGTGGAGAGGAGGATCTGATGGTTCACAGTATCAAAGGCAGCAGACAGGTCTAGAAGGACAAGAGCAGAGGAGAGAGAGTTAGCTTTAGCAGTGCGGAGAGCCACCGTGACATAGAGAAGAGCAGTCTCAGTTGAATGACCAGTCTTGAAACCTGACTGGTTTGGATCAAGAAGGTCATTCTGAGAGAGATAGCAAGAGAGTTGGCTAAAGACGGCACGCTCAATAGTTTTGGAAAGAAAAGAAAGCTAGCTAGCAATGGCTGCGAGTGTTGTTTTTTTTTTGAGAAGGGGTGCAACTCTCACTCGCTTGGACGGAAGGGACATACCAGGCGGTCAATGATGAGTTGATTCAGCGAGGTTATTTAAGGGCTAATGTCACCCGGAGATGGCTGGAGAAGCGAGGAGGGGATATGGTCAAGCGGGCAGGTTGTTGGGCTGCCACCGTCACAAGAGTCCGCCGATTTTTATCTGGAGGAAAGCTGGGGAAAAATCAAAGCCATATTTATGGCATTGTGGGGAGCAGACCAGCATGTCATTTGACTAACAACTAGGATCGGGAGTGTCGCAACCTTCTTTTCAAAATGGTTGACAATCCATCCACAGAGAGGGGGAGGCGGGGGAGGAGATTCAGCAGGGAGGATAAGGTGCAAAGAGCTCCTAGGGGTAGAGGCAGATGCTTGGAATTTAGATTGGTATAAAGTGGCCTTAGCCGCAGAAACAGATGAGAATGTGAAGGTAGGGAGTAAAAGAAATTCCAGGTCCGCAGGAGTGCTAGTTTTTGACATGTATATTCTACATCATAACCATAAGTCAAGTACTCTATAAGTGTCACACAGACACTTATCCTGTAAGCCAGACCTCAGTGTGCTGCTGGTGACAGTGGCTTCTGATGTGGTGGCAGCAGACACATGCGAAACCATACCCAAAACCATGTGCTTCTCAACCACAGTGAGTAACCAAACACACAGAGCATATGAATATGGAGCGCAGGATGTACCCCTATTCTCATACACTCTACTAGTTATTTATTTTGGAGAGACACGTTGAGAGAGACGTGTGTCTTAAAAGTAAAACTTTTTCTGAACGTATAAATCGTATTCTTAAATCAGAATACTTATGGCCGAGGTGGTATTGTGTCTTCTAAAACGGGTTGGTCAAAACAAGCATTGTGATTGGTTGACACACGCTCTAAGCCATACTAAAGAACCGGTTTAGCACGGTTAGACCTATGACGCAAAAATGGGCATCTTGTTTTCTGTTCCATCTGAGAAATCCCTGCACATCCACTGTCCCATCAGCCCAGCCAGCCAATTAATTAGCTTGATCGCCACTGTAAAAAGCATCTAGACATTATTTCCCCTTGCTTATAGCCTAACATTTGGTTTGCAACAACGGGGGTGTGTACAAACGTTGCTGTCTGTCTCTCGACATTTGCAAAATTGTTTCAATATTGAAATTCGGTCTCCACTGTCCTATTTGATTTGATTTATTAGGATCCCCATTAGCCGAATCCAACGGCGACAGCTACTTTTACTGGGGTCTGACACATAACGAAAAATACATTACAGACAAAAGACTTTACAATTTACATACATTTAAAAACATTAACGTGGTGTGTGTGTGTGCATCTATCAGTTATGTCAGTACATACACACAACAAGTAGGTCACATGGGGGAGAGGCACTGTGCTGTGAGGTGTTGCTTTATAATTGTTTTGCTGTTCACTTGCACTATAGAAGATGGAAGGGAGTTCCATACACTCATGGCTCTGTATAATACTGTATGTTTCCTTGTTCTGGACCTGGGGACTGTGAAAAGACCCCTGATGGCATGTCTGTTGGGGTAAGTGTGTGTGTTTGACTATGCAAACAATTTGGAATATCCAACATTGTTTCTTCTAAAAACAAGAAGTGTTGCAGTCAGTGTTTCCTCAACTCATAGCTAAGAGAGACTGGCATGCATAGTATTAGTAAACTCAGCAAAAAAAGAAACGTCCCTTTTTCAGGACCCTGTCTTTCAAAGATAATTATAAAAAATCCAAATAACTTCACAGATCTTCATTGTAAAGGGTTTAAACACTGTTTCCCATGCTTGTTCAATGAACCATAAACAATTAATGAACATGCACCTGTGGAACGGTCGTTAAGACACTAACAGCTTACAGATGGTAGGCAACTAAGGTCACAGTTATGAAAACTTACTAAAGAGGCCTTTCTACTGACTCTGAAAAACACCAAAAGAAAGATGCCCAGGGTCCCTGCTCATCTGCGTGAACGTGCCTTAGGCATGCTGCAAGGAGGCATGAGGACTGCAGATTTGGCCAGGGCAATAAATTGCAATGTCCATACAGTGAGGCGCCTAAGACAGCGCTACAGTGAGACAGGACGGACAGCTGATTGTCCTCGCAGTGGCAGACCACGTGTAACAACACCTGCACAGGATCGGTACATCCGAACATCACACCTGCGGGACAGGTACAGGATGGCAACAACAACTGCCCGAGTTACACCAGGAATGCACAATCCCTCCATCAGTGCTCAGACTGTCCGCAATAGGCTGAGAGAGGCTGGACTGAGGGCTTGTAGGCCTGTTTTAAGGCAGGTCCTCACCAGACTTCACCGACAACAACGTCGCCTATGGGCACAAACCCACCGTCGCTGGACCAGACAGGACTGGCAAAAAGTGCTCTTCACTGGCGAGTCGCGGTTTTGTCTCACCAGGGGTGA